TTCTAAGCCTAGCTGAAGAGTTTGAATTTAGGACCATGGTCGGACGTATGCAGAGATTATACCACTGAAATTTAGTCCTTAATACAAAATAAGAACCTAGTCCTCATGGTTTCCCATAAAGAGCTCTATTCATCTTTTTCAGTACAGTTTGCCACCATTTAAAACACCAGTCTTTTTCTGGAAGACAGCTAACTGAACATGGGAACTTCTGCGTGTAAAACATGAACTCTATCACTGATATCTATGAAATTCTCCTAAAAATATAAGTTAACCTTCCAGTTTCTGAATAAAAGACACGGGAAACTGCTTTGTACCAAGTCAGACTATTATTTAAATAGATGAAAGGGAGCCAAATGGTTATTACAGAATACCAATGCAAGAGTAGGGGATACTTTTATAGACCGCTAAAAAAAAAAATCGGAATAAAATCTGTGAGCTTTCGTGGATTAGGACCGTCCACTTCATCAGGCATGTACCTGCGTGAAGAATTTAAAGTCCAAAAGTTCATGGCGAGATGGATTTTGCCAGGGAAGTTACTCTTAGATGGCCTCTTTGTTTTAAAAAAATCGGGGGTGTGATTTCCAACTGGAAGCTGCCTCGGCGGTTATTTTAAAACAGCCCTGATGCTGCCTGAGTTACATCTAAGAAATGGTGAAATCCATCTCGCCATGAACATTTGGACCATCTGCAGTGATCATGGAGTGCCATTTAAACAGGAATAATACTGTATATTCGTCTTCCAGGGATGCAGTAAATTTGAATTCCATGCTTTTGCCGGGGGTTGGACTAGATGACCCTCGGTGTCCCCTCCCAGCTGCACGGTTCTCTGCTAATGCTGAATATAGATTGCTTCTTCTTCTTCTTTTTGTATGAGGCTCCTCATCATTAACCGCCCAGAGTGGTAGAATATACCAGATGGGCGGGATATAAATCAAATAAATAAATAAATAAATTAACACTTACATGCCTGGCAGATGCAACATCGTCGGCTCTGTGCCGAGAGAAGCCGGGTGTCTCAAATTTAACCGCTGCTGGGAGGAAATGTTTCTTTCATTCCCTGCACGACAATATTGGGGACAGGAAGAGCTTTTAAAAAATATAGGGGAGAGGGGGAAGTAATGTTGGGGGAAATCAAAACGGGCAGATTTGTGTTGTGTGGCTGGAGATCAACTCGTCCAGACGATCGCATTTCTAATTGGGTATAGACGTGAAACCTGGTCAATGAAGAAGTCAAAAATCTGATTCATTCTCCACAAAGAGAGCTTTACGGATGCCATAAATTGGAAGTAACCCATAACAACAAAGCACTGATTTGAAGCTTTAAGGCTTTTAAGACTGATTTGAAGCTTTAAGACTCATTCCAGAACAAAACGAAGGTGGGTTATCACGAGAACTTTCAATAATTCCACCTGGAAAAGGCGCTCTGCCCAGAGGCTTACGTGGTGCCCACCTTACGCCTTTTTCAATGCCCGATGAAAACAAAAAAAAAAACCAATCCTTCCAGGTCTTTTCAAAGGTCGTTTATGGATTCTAGATAACGTTCCTTACTTTTGCTGGTCAATGACCATAATAAAACATTTATTATTATTATTCTAGATGTTAAAGCTTTCCTACCTGTTCTTTTTTTAAACTTTGGATTTCTATGCTGCTCTTCTCTCCCGCTCCCCCCCTTCATTGGCGGCTGCTTTTAATCTTATCTTGATCATGAGCTTTTTAAAAAAATAATAATTGTGAATTCCTTTTTTAAAAAAATACTTTTTTTCCCATTTACCTGCATCCTGCCCTGAAAAGTTTGGCCGTGGGGCTGCACAAGTCTTCAGAAAGTCAGAAACAAAAATGGTTGAATTTTAGAAGCTTTGTTTTATTCATTGGTTGTACGTACAGCCCGCTCTGCAGCTAAAAAATGGTCTCAGAGCAGCTGAACAGACCAAAACAAGGGACTCCCAGACTTCGAGATTACGTCTGAAAAAAAAAAACCAGGGCAGAAAAGGAAAAAGCCAAAGAAACACAAGGAAACTCGGGCACCCCTTATCGAAATTCAGTGATTCCCCAGCCTTTTTTAAAAACCCACTTTTAAAATTCTGATCTGCCATCAAGGGGCCTCCAACTTAGGGGAACTTTTAAGAGGGTTGCTAAGGCCTGTGCGGTGTGGAGCGAATATCCATGGCTCGACTGAGATTTGAACCCAGCTCTCGGGAATCCTAGCCTGGAATTCCCCATGGCTGGGCTTCTCCCACCCATCAGTGGCACCAAGAAAAATTTCGCCGCACTTCCCAAAAGGGGTAGCCCCGTTTCGTGAAAACCAGTGAAGAGTGTTGTGAAACCTTGAGGATGGTTGTGTTTTTTATTATTATTATAATTATTATAATTATTATAATTATAATTATTATAATTTTAATTATAATTATAATTATTATTATAATTATTATTATTATTATTGTTATTGTTGTTATTGTTGTTGTTGTTGTTGTTGTTGTTGTTGCTGTTGCTGTTTCGTGAAAACC